CAAAATTTAAATTAGAACAGCTGCCAGAAGTAAGTGGCTATATTAACACTAGTGAGTCTAAACTTTTGAAAGGAAGTATATAATCTTATTGTGTTTCAAGATTTTAAATAGTCATATAGTTCACAAAAGATGTTCGATTTGTTTTTCGAGATGATCCCAAAGTGGAATTGTTGCTAGATATTGTAAATTATCATAAGACACGGTGACAGTTGCTCAAGCTTACCATTTAATCACAAAACAAGTACATCCACTTGAAGATCATAATCAAGAATGAATTGTATAGAATAATAATACTTACATCACATAGAGTACCGAAGAATCAATTAAATGAAATGAAAGAAATTTGCTTGGCAAGTACTAGCAGCTAATTAAAAATAACATGACAAAAACAAAAATAAATACTTTTAACAAGTAACTAACATTTGCTTTACAAACAACACTACAAGAGATATACAACGAATTAAGAATTAAACTTTTGACAAGAAATATATATTGGAAATATATATTTCACAAGAAGTATAATATATTTCAACATGAACCTAAAATGTCAGCTATACTCATGCCAATGGTTGTCACCCCTTCCCACCCACCCCCTCTCCAATTAAAAAAATTGAAGGGTGTGACAACCATTATTGGCATGAGTATTTCTCTTCTAGGCAGATGTGAAATGCCTAAATCTGCCTGGTGAATTCACCAGTGTACATAATCAAGTATTCTAGATAACACATTTGTGTTTCCTCCACACTGGTTGAAACGGAGTGGCAGAGTTAATCAAACCTTGAATCAAGTGGTGTGCACTCACGATTGTTTTCATCTCCATATTCACCAATGTTACTTATAGTCGTAACTTACATTTATTATTCCTCATATGAATTATACAGAACTATTTATTGTCAAAAAGAAATGTGTAATGGTATATACAATATAACTTAAAACGGTATGTAATGAACACATTAACACCATTCAGGAATGCAACATCTGACATTATCTTATAATCTGTTACATTGAACATGTTACTGTGTGCCATTGTATGAGCTTATACATGATGCACAGGTCAACTGATATTCTAGATTTAATAGTGCATGTATAGAGCATGCATGCTGGTATTGTTGTGTCACTCCTGTGTGTGCACATGGAACATCAACTAAGCATTAATGTATTTGCTCTATGTATCAGTTACTACTGTAATCCGTGCAGAGGAGAGTAGAGTGAACTGTTGTTTTATACCAGTCATATTCCAGCATTACTAACACAAAGGTTGATAGTGAGTGATTGAGTGAGTTTAGTTTTACGCTGCACTCCACCGCAATATTCCACCTATATGGCGGCTGTCTGTAAATAATCGAGTCAGGCCCAGACAATCCAGTGATCAACAGCATGAGCATCGACCTGCGCAACTGTGGGAACCGATGACATGTCAACCAAGTCAGCGAGCCTGACCAATTCGATCCCGTTAGTCGCCTCTTACGACAAGCAAAGTCGCCTTTGTGGCAAGCATGGGTTGCTGAAGACCTATTCTACCCCGGATCTTCACGGGTTAAGGTTGATAGTATTAGCAACTGTCCAAACCATAAAGCATTACACTTTACCAGGGCATGCATTTTGAATACTATTAAACTCCTGATACTAATAGAAAATAATACGAGGAAATTATGCCTAAAGTTTTACTTTTATAAAACCAAATCATCTGTAAACCAAATTCAAACAGATGATACTTTTTGTTTATCCATCTCTATTGCATATGCACTGTTTCTGATCCAACTGTACTAAGGTTAATTGTCAGTGGTAGAAGTTGGACAGTGACACTTGCAAAAGTAGATATGGTGACGGAAAGAATTGTAGCCAATGTTGTTGAAAAAAACTGTGCAATATGGCTCCTTCCTAAAAATACAAATAGTGTCATATGCAACCTGCACTATGTCTGCTGTCAGACCTACTGAGGTCATGGAAACATCCTCTGATATTCATACTTCTTCATCTCATTGGAACAGAATTGTTTGTCCACAATAATATATCACACCCGTTTCCTGATCAAGTAACTAAACAGCAAGTCACAATCTGGAAGTAGTGCAACATATTCAAACAACATGCATGTGCGTATTACATTAAATATAATTTATATAAACATGTATACATATTGAAGTAAATATACATGTAGAAATGGAAAAGTATGAGGCATGGCTGATTCAATTATTCATACACTTACAACAATGGTTTTATCAAAGGCAATATACAATAAAATATTATAACAATACATTGTCCAGTCACGAAAGTTCATAAAGCAAGGTCAAGATATTCATTTAACTCAATTTCACCAATGCAAACACAATTTTATATCATAGCATTTTGGTAATATATACTAATAACTGGTACCAACAAGAGCGCAAAATAACAAATACAATAACTTTCCAAAAACAATTCTACAAATTTACACGATCATGTACAGGTACAATGTATTGACTTCACACCACCACTGTATATACACATATTAATGTTTTGCTCATGTGCAATGGTATCTGAATACTTGCTTCAGGCACAAATCTGAGGTTTCCTACAGCAGCAGGAATATAGTATATGCATCCAATGTGTTTTCTTAAATTAGTTGATGAGATTGTTGGGAAGTGAAGACCTTCTCATGTTTCCACAATGAAACACTGCAGCAGCAGTAGTGAAAGAGATATGTACACAGCTCAAGGAACAAAAATACATACAAAGTGTACTCTAAAAAAGGAACTGTAATAGGCTTCTCTGCCCAGTGACAGTTGAAGTTGGCTAGAATAGGGTTTAGGACCTTGCGTTGTGTACTTTTTTTATGTGGTGATGGTAAAGTAGCAAACTTCAAATAGGCTCGATGAATCAGGCCTCATTGCTTGTAAAACATAACAAATAGAAAAGAGAAACTCAATAATTTATTTACAAAAAACTAAAACCTATCCTAACCTAACAGCCCTAACCTAATCTATACCTGACCGAACTGAGTAGAGCACCGGGCCACGCCCTACGGGAAATGACTGTTGACCTAGGTACCTGGAACGCCCATTGTCATTCATAGATGGAGCCCTTTGAGTTAATGATTCCGAAAAATCCATCTGCCTCTGGAGGTCTGATATTTTTCCTCATTACACCGTTCAAAATCATGAAAAGATTGGTTCATAGAGGCTTGAATTTCCGATTTAAAGTAAGATATAGAGAGCCGTAATGGACGACATATCCACTTGACTAGATGAAGAGAATTTAGATTTTGACCTAGATCTGGACTCTGATTTCTTAACCAGGGTTGGCTGAGATTGAGAATCCGATTTCTTATTCTTGGATAAATCTGAGGAGCCCGATAATTTTCTCTTCCTGGGATTATTACGGGCTTTGTCCACCATAAACCACTCATCCTTAGATAACCCTGAGCAAAGTAAGCACCGATCCTCCCATGAACAAGTCAATCCTGACAAAACACAATGCACAAAGAGAGTGAGGGTCCGAATCCGCCATAAATCTCTGACATAATAAGCACTTCTTTTGCGACATGATGAGTGAAAATGGCGGGAATTTTCCAAAGTCAATCAAGCATCAGTTTCACAAGTAAATACACTTCAACAATAAAATGCGATGGTCAAACAACGACCAATGCGATCACACTAACCAGTTCTGTTGAAATGGTGTGATCCATACAGAAAAAATTATGAGGGCTTCTGGTAGAACAATGCTGTGACATCACGGCTAGGGGAGATAACTGCGTACTTTTTTTAGGCATACCACAAAGGATAGCTATGACTTCTTTTAAAAGAGAATTTATTCTCTTTCATTTCTGTATGTCTCTGTGATTCCAGAGGAAACTGGCAACCATAATCCAGAGGGAACGTTTACGGCATAATTGAGTTGTGTTTGTTTTTCGTAATGACATCTGTAGCGTACATAGTTGTAATCTGACATAATACATAATAATGTATTTTGGTATTAAGTTAATGCTACGGTTTGTTCAATTTATAGATAAACATTGTGAATAATATAGTTGCATAACTATAAAACGTCTATGTACATATTTATTGTTTTTGAATACAGAGAATATGACACAGCACTTGTAATGACAATGGTTGGTACATGGACACAGGAGAAAACAGTATCTGCAGCAGCAGAATATGAACCAATCATGACTTTCCTGTTTATTTACGGCAAGATATTGTTGAGTTATTTTGTTTTGCAACATAATTATGTAGCATGCAGTCCTGTGTTGGACATGCAATGCAGTTATATTATACTTCTTGCACAGAATACATGTATTCAAAATCCAACATGTCAATATGGTTACTATGCTATTGAAGAGGTCCAGATGTTAATCAACAAAGATTTTCTTGTCAAGCTCTATTGCTCTTCATTACACATCATTATACTAAAAGTGAGTGAGTGAGTTTAGTGTTAAGTCGATATTAGCAATATTCCAGCAATATCATGGCGGGGACACCAGAAATGAGCTTCACATATTGTACCCAAGGGAAGATTGAACACGGGTCTTCGGCGTGAAAAGTTACACCACCGCCCCATCATAGTAGGAACTTCAACGATCAAACTTACTTCTTTTACTGAATGAAATACTTCAATGTTAATTATATGATGGCCAACAGATAGATTGTTTTCATTCATAATATCTTATTCTCAGTATATGACATGAGAAACACAGAATATGAATCCAACACAAATTTTGATATATTTGTATAACTAGGCATTGTGTTTTCCAACATAACGCCTATCTATAGTCCAGCGATTGTTTTGTTAAACAATCATTATTTCCCTCAGAATCCCTATCCCCCACAATTTACATCAATGACCTCTGCAGCCGCAGAACAAATGACTCAGTGTTCATTTAATTAGAACATGGTTACACTGATGATATTAAGAGTTACATTTTCTGGTTAATGGACAAAGGTATTGTTTGTAAAAGTTCAGTTTCCTTAGTAATGCAGAAATACCACAGCAGACAAAGTACTACCAACAAGCTTGGTGATGATACTGTTGCTTCCCTCAAATCTTGCTACTATTAGTGGGACAAACAGTGAGTGAGTTTAGTTTTACGCCGCACTCAGCAATATCCCAGCTATATGGCGGCGGTCTGTAAATAATCGAGTCTGGATCTGAAAATCCAGTGATCAACATCATGAGCATCGATCTGCGCAATTGGGAACCGATGACAGCGAAACTGACCACCCGATCCCGTTAGTCGCCTTTACGACAAGCTTAGTCGCCTTTTATGGCAAGCACATGGGTTGCTGAAGACCTATTCTACCCCGGATCTTCACGGGTCCATACATCTGAGAATCCTATCTTGGACAATGTTTCTCTAATATCAGAAGTCCAGTTTCTTTTCCTACGTTATCGAGTGATTTAAGCATTCGGTAACACTGGTGTGCGTGGCGATCGGTTGTCATTCGTAGAACTTTTATCCAGTACTTGATGGCCTTTACCTCTGTTCTATTGTTCCCTAATGAACAGTTGAAAATAGCTCGGCCCATATGGGCCACTCCCCACCTCTGCGCCAGCGACCCATGTGACAGCTAGCCGCTTGTCACTCTCTACATTTTCGAGGCCAAAGCTATTTTGGACATGCGCCAAATAGTGAAGAAGTGGGGACGGTTGGGACGGCCCTTAGACTTTGAGTCAGGATAAGAATAAAATATCAATTTTATAAAAAAAATAATACATATTTGTCCTTATCCTGACTCATACGTTATTGCTTTAATCCAACTGATAGGTGGCGGGTCAGCCATCTCTTTTTGGATTACAATAAACTGTTCAATCAACCCCGTCAGAACTCAGATACTGCGGCCAAAACTTGGGACCACCTTTTTTAAAGAAAAAGACGTAAATCATTAGACTCTGTGGATTCTTAAACTCGCAAGGAATTAGATTCCCACTTATCTTGGGTCGATCCATATGTTCAGAATAGCAATGTCTGTGAGATAGTGGCTTGTAAATACAGTGTCCGATCTCGAGAAACATCCTTCCATAATTTATGAGATGGAGCAGTTGCCATGTGGAGCTAAAGTGGATGCCACAGCTCTGACTTCGTGAGGATTGGAGGCTGTAGGTGGATCCAGTCCTGCTGCTTTAATTATAGGTTCTCAAATTCACTGCTCTCAGCCAGAAGGAGATGGTCGTTCAGGAGACTTTGTAACGGGTGATATTGGGATGAAAAGTCTCCTAAACTTCTACTCCAAGCAGTTCTTTTCAGGTAAATTTTCAATGCTCTGACTGGACACAAGGACATGTCTTGGGTATCTTCCACTGGGATGTGGAATTGTCGTAATACGTTCCATGTGTGAAACTAGCATTCTGGGGTGCGCATGAGCTTGCCTTATGTGAGGATGAATGAAAGGTTGGGCCAGTTTGGAAGTCTTAGATTTGGTTCTCTGAGAAGTCTGATGAGGTCTGGAAACCACGTTCTCGATGGCCAGTAGGGCGCTACCAAAATCAGTCATAGGATCTTCATCTGGACGATCTTCTGTTTGACTTTTGGTAGAAGTACAGGTGGTGGGAATGCATAGGCGTGGAGACCTTCCCATGATCTAGCTAAGGCGTCTAGGGTCCAGGCTAGTGGATCTGGGACCGGTGAGACGAAGATCTTTATCTGATTGAATCTTGTCACAAATAGGTCTATGAGCGGGCAACCCTGTTCTCGCATCAGT